CGCCGCCGCCCCGCGCGCACCTCCTGCGGAGCCGAGGCCGGGACAGACATGCTCGCCGCCCCGGGCCTGGGCCAGAGCCGGCGCCTTTCCCGGTGCCGCGTGCAGACGGTGCGGACCGATGAGGACGCAGGAAACCCGGGGCCCCGGAGAGCGGGCCTGGGGAACGCGGAAGTCCAGCTCCTGGGAGCCGGCATCGCTGCCACCCCACCCCACCCCCGGCCCGGGTCCCCAGCAGCCAGGGGCGGGAAGAGCTGGGAGCGCGGAGGCCGGCTGAGGGCGCTGCGGGCGCAAAGGCCGGGGGCCTCGGGGGTGAGCGGAGACCGGCCCGACGCCGCACGTGGGCGCCTGCGTTCATGCGGCCAGCGATGCGGAGCGCGCACGGCCCTGGGAGAGGGGCTGGTGGAGGGAGCCCGGCGGACTCAGGCTTCACCTGTGGCCACTGAAGAGCCGCAGCAGGACAGAGAGGCAGCGCCTGCCTTCCCTGGGCATGCAGACCACCACCCCGATCTCCCAGGTTCTTTATTTTACTGTTATCACCATCATCATCGTCGTCATTATTTTGAGACAGAGTCTCACTCTGTAGTCTAGACTGGCCTTGAGCTGGGCGTGGTGGCGCACCCCTGTAATCCCATCACTCAGGAGGCTGAGGCAGGAGGATGGTTGAGAGTTCACGGCCAGCCCCCCAAAAAACAGCCAGCCTGGGCTACAAAGTGAGCTCAAGGCCAGTCTGAACTCCACAGCCAGACCCTGTCTCAAAAAGACAAAAAAAAAAAAAGACTGGTCTTGAATTCACAGAGCTCCTACTGCCTCAGCCTCCTGAGTGCTGAGATCACAGGCATGCACCATCCCTCCTAGCTCTGGGTTCTTTCAAAGACCCTGTAACCTCTTTGCCCTAAACATACTTACTCTGGGGCATGGGATGGGTTGGTGAGGAGAACTTCCAAAAGTATCAGTTGTGTTCTGGCGTGGTGGCACATGCCTGTGATCCCAGCACTCAGGAGGCTGAAGTAGGAGGATCCCTATGAGCTGGAGGCCAGCCTGGGAGACATATTTGTGTTCAAAGCCAGCCTAAACAATATAGTGAGACCCCGTCTCAAAACAACAACAACAACAAAAACAAAAACAAAAAAAGCTCAGTTGTCTAAGTTGTCTATTAACATGGTTCTGCTCTATAGTGTGCTTGATGAATGAATGCATGTTTAAAGGGAAATAGCTTTAGCTGGGTGGGGGTTATACATGTCTGTCATCCCAGCACTCTGGGAGGCTGAGACAGGATGGCAAATTTGAGCCCAGCCTGGGCACCTTAAACGATACTGTCTCCAAATAAAAAATAAAAAACAGGGGCCAGGGATATAGCTCCGTGGCACAGCGCCTGTCTCACAAGCATAAGGTCATAGGTTCAATTCCTGGTACCAAAAAAATAAAAAATAAAAAACAGGTTGGGGATGTACCTCATTGGGAAGACCCTGTACCACAAATCAATGAATCAAATTTTTAAAAATAAAAGGAAATAGCTTTGGATGGATGAGCAGTTGGAGAACGGATGTATGCCAGACTGGGGGCGGGGCATAGCTGCCTGTCTTCCTGGACTTTTGCACTGCCTCCCTTTTAAGGATGAGCGTGCATTCATTATAGTACTGAAGACAGTGAGATGAGTTAGCAACTTTTTTTTTTTTTTTTTGGTCTTTTTGAGACAGGGTCTCACTGTGTAGTCCAGGCTAGCCTTAAACTCACAGCGATCCTCCGGCCTCAGCCTCCCGGGCAAGCACCACCATGCCCAGCCAGTTAGCAGCTTTAGCGAAACAGAGAAATCTAGAGACGCAGTAGGCCAGGCGTGGTGGCGCACGCCTGTAATCCCAGCACTCAGGAGGCTGAAGCAGGAGGATGGTTGCAAGTTCGAGACCAGCCTGGGCTACAAAGTGAGCTCAAGGCCAGCCTGAACTGCAAAGCGAGACCCTGCCTCAAAAAGAAAAAAGAGAGAGAGAGAAACATCAGGGGCCCTGGGTGTGAATCACAGTCCGTTCTCTCTGTGTGCTGTGTGACCCTGAGTCTCACATTAAAGTTGCTGGGAGGTTAACTGAGCAAAAACTTAAAGGTCTGAGAACAGCCTCACGTTACACACCAGCTCTGGCTGGGAAACTGTTTTGCAAAAGGCCAGATTAGTAAATATTTTCCACGTTGTTGGCCAGCCCTGAAGTAGCCAGAGGCAACATATAAATGCATAGGAGAGACTATGCATTTATAAATAAATAAATATAAATAAAGCTCTATTTACAAAAGCAGGGCTGGGGATTTAGCTCAGCGGCACAGCCCTTGCAAGTGCAAGGTCGTGAGTTCAATTCCTGGTGGGGGGGGCGGGTTAAAAAAAAGACTCAGTTGCTGCATTTACAAAAGCAGGTAGAGGGGCTGGAGATTTAGCTCAGCGGCACAGCAACTACCTGGCAAGCACAAGGTCGTGAGTTCGATTCCTGGCACAGGAAAAAAACCAAAACCAAAAAAAAAAAAAAAAAAAAAAAAGCAGGTAGTGGGCCAGATTTAACCACAGGCCACTAGCCTCCCATCCCCTGTGCTAAGCACCCAAGTCAACTGGTCCACGGGTAATTTCTTCGTTATCTCTGGGCCTCTGTACCCTTTTAGGCCAGAGAGCTTTATTGTGCATCTACTGTGTTCCTGGCATGACTGTGCACCAGGGACTCGGAAGTCCCATCTTCAGAGAGACAGGGATGTTTTGGTTCACAAAAAATTACTCAAGGGTTTGATTTTTCTGGGTTTTGTTTTTTGTGTTTTTTGTTGTTGTTTTTGTCTATTTGAGACAGTGTCTCGCTGAACTGCTGTCAGCAGTTCAGGCTAGGCTTGAGCTCACTTTGTAGCCCAGGCTGGCCTCAAACTCGCAGTGATCCTTCTGCCTCAGCCTCCCGAGTCCGGCTCATTACTCAAGGTTTGAAGGTGAAAAAATTCCTCAAGATTTAAAAAAAGAGGAAGCTGGGTGTGGCAGTGGTGCATTCCTGTCATCCCTGCATCCCTGCAGGAACATCTCAAATTTGAGCCCAGCCTGGGCAACTCAGTGACTCAGTGAAACCCTGTCTCAAAATTAAAAAATAACCAAGGTTGGGGATGGAGCTCAGTGTGAAGGCCCTGGGTTCTGTCCCCCATAACCCTCACACCTAGCCAGGCATGTTAATGGCTGTAATCTTAGCTACCCAGAAGCCTGAGGCAGGACGATCTGGAGTTCAAGGTCAGCCTGAGTTATGTAGCAAGACTCTGTCTCAAAAGAAGAAAAACAAATCCCCAAAACAAAACAAAAATGAGGAGGAAGTACAGGAGGCCCTGAGGAGTGACAAGGAAGGGGTTGCTGGGAGCGTTTCCCCCTCCTCCCCCCTACCCCCCCAAGCCCAAACCTCCTGGGGCTCCCTCATCCTCAGAGCAAAGCCCAAGGCCTCCCCAGAAGAGAGGGAACCCCAGGTCATGTTCATGGGTGTGCAGATGCCTGGACCGGCCATGGGACATAGTGGCCGTGTGGTGACCCTTGTGACCTTCTCCTCTCGCAGGAGACACCCGTGCCCTCGTCCCCAGCCCACTCCAAGATCCAGCAGTGACTCAGGTGCTCTCTGCACCCCAGGACCCCAGAACGCTCACAGTGAGCTTGGCCTCCCCACCTCCCCCAGTCCAGATTCCAGACACTGGGGCCCACGGCCTCCTGGCCTGCTCTGCTGCATCTCACCAGAGGGGTCCACCTGCCTGGCCCTGCTCAAGTGCCCTCCATGGCTGGCCAGTGGCCTGGACCTCTTCTGGGCCTTCCCCACCTCTCCTCTGTCTTGGGTCCCTTTGGGTCCCATTTTAAAATCCCACCCCTCCCCCATGCCTCTCGCCCCTCTGATCATGCTGTCCCCACTTGATTCTCACCGATGGTGCCATTTATGTTCTGTGTCCATATTTCTTTCCCATTTATTTATTTATTTTTATTATTATTTTTTGGGGGGGGTACCGGGAACCGAACTCAGGACCTTGCGCTTGCCAGGCAGGCGCGTATGCCGCCGAGCTATATCCCCAGCTATTTATTTATTTTTAAAGACAGGGTCTCACTGTACAGTACAGGCTGGCCTTGAACTCACTAAGTAGCCCAGGCTGGCCTCAAACTTAGTGATCCTCCCGCCTCAGTCTCCTGAGTGCCGGGATGACAGCCGTCTGTCCCCACACCCAGCATGTGGACCTCTGTTTGGGAAGTGAAGACACTGACACCCACCGCCCCCCCCCCCAGCCCGCTCCTCAGGGCTCCTGGAAGGTCGGTGATTGGAATCAGCAAGGGACCATTATGTGTGTCACAACTGCTCCCCAAAGGCAAGGGAAATGAAGCGCCAGGTAGCATCAGTGAAGAGGCAACAGGAACTGCCCTGAGGCTGCAGTCTTGGCCCTCAGCTGCACGGTGTGTGACCTTGGCGGAGGTGCTTAACCTGTCTGTGCCTGTTTCCTATCCATAACTTAGGGATGGAGGAGGGCTTTAGGTATGTGACGTCCCACACAGCTGTGGCTTAAGGTGACACTGCTCTGACCCCTCAGGGGCGTGGCTGAGGGACATTCCACATCTGCCTCGGAAGCAAACCCAGGCCAGGTTCCCACAGAGCTGACCTGACGATGCGTGGCACAAGCTCCATAGTCACAGTCCGAGCCTGGGGCCACACCGGTGCCAGATAGCCCCAGTGGACCAGAGCAGACAGAAGCCACCAGTCTTGCAAGCTGATGTGCAGCTGTATTCAGGCTCCACGGCTGGGCAGGACAGGTGCCGAGTCTACGCCACAGTTGATGGTCACGCACTCCAGGTGGCTGGGTGGTAGTCAAGCCGCCTGGGCGGTCGGCCACAGGTCCTGGTGCTCCAGCAGCAGCTCCCATCCCCAGCCTCCTGCGGCAGGAAGGCAGTGGCTGCTGGTGGGCCTGGGCCCCATCTGTCCGTCCTGCCCCAGCTCATCCTGACAATGGGAACAGCCGGATGGGGTGGGTACTCTGGCCAGGCGTCCTCTTCCGAGCTACGCTGGGATCTGCTTCCCAGCTACCTGGGTGACTACAGGAATCACCAGGGACACAGGACTGGCGGGTGTCCCAGTGGCTTTGTCAGCTCAGTAGCTTTGTGTTGGCCACCTGAAACTGGGAAAGCTGGGGAGCGGGTTGCGCACCAATCATCCCAGCACTTGGGAGGCTGAGGCAGGAAGATCACCATGAGTTCAAACACAGGAGACCCTATCTCAAACAAACAAAAGACAAAATCTAGGCCTATCAATGACATAGAAACCAATCAACACTGCAGGTCTGCAGCCAGGGCTTTGAACTGGTTTGTGTCTATACTCCCAGCAGCCTGCTGTGTCCACAGCACTTTTCCACTCGATCCCTTACAGCTTGGGCTGCTGCCCTATACTGGGGACTGCACGATATTTTCCACACCCCTCCCCCATAGACCTTGTCCAGCATGGACACGGGTACTGGGGAAAACTTCCTAGGCAAGCACATTTGGCTGGGCAGATTCTGGGTAAACTGAGGCAGGGGGGAATGAAATGACTGTCTGAGGTCACAGTGGTTCCAGAGTCCCCGTACACCCCCACTGTCCTCCTTCTCCGTCTCCTATGCCGTTGTGACTGTCACCCATGATACCAGATACGGTGGCATCACCCAAGTTCCCAGAACCACCCAATGGGGTGAGGGGCACGGCTGCCAGGGCCGCGGACCGCAGGCCACAGCTGGGTCGTTGCACGACCACAGGCCCCTTTGTTGGCCCATGCTGGGACTGCCTGCTCCTGGCTGCCACCGCCGTCCTCATGTTGCCGACAAGACCCCCAGGCGAGGACCCTGACTCCCCTGGGCTCCCCAGATTCCCGACTTCAGGCTCCCACCCAGTTCCCCAGTGACCTTGAGCCCGGGGAGCCAGGGGTCCCGAGGTCTGGGCACCCTTCCCGCCCATCTGCCCATGTCGCTCTTCTCCTGTCTCCCCCTCTTCCTCCCCCAGCCTGCTCCCCCTCCCGTCCGTGCCAGCGCTGTCTCCATTAATCAGCTGCGCGGCCCTGCTCTGATCCTGCATGCAGCTGCCCCTCCACAGGCACCTGGGGGGTCAAGATCGCTGGGCGCCAAGAGGTGACCCTCGCTTCCAGCCCCACCTGGCATCTGTGTGCTCCAGGGGTGAGCACCACTGCAGGGGGCTGCGGCTGTGTGTCCACTGGATGGGTGGGTGGTTTTGGCTGCCCACTGCTTCAGGGACAGGTGAGGGTCACTGCCTCATCCCTGCAGGGGCCCGACGCTGGCCAGGGGGTGCTGGGGACACAGGCAGGGGCTGGGTAGAGCCATCCTCGGCCTGGGGGCTGAAGCAGGGGCTGGTGTTCTAGGGAATCCAGAAACCAGGAGAGGGGAGCACCCAGATGTGTCCATGAGCTACAGCTGGGACATTAATTAAATGATATAGCTGGGCGTGGTGGTGCATGCCTGTAATCCCAGCACTCAGGAGGCTGAGGCAGGAGGATCGTTGAGAGTTCAAAACCAGCTTGGGCTACAAAGTGAGCTCAAGGCCAGCCTAAACTACATAGAGAGACCCTGTTTCAAAAAGCCAAAAAAAAAAGGTATAGCTATTATCATCATTTTAAGTGTATTATTCTTACTATTAAATTATTATTGTGCACGTGCAAGGCCTCATGCCTGTCATCCCAGCTAGTGGGGAGACTGAGGCAGGAGGATCTCAAATTGGAGCCCAACCTGAGTAACTCAGCAACTTGGTAAGACGCTGTCTCAAAATAAAAAATAAAAAGTGCTGGAGATGCAGCTCAGTGGTAGAGCACCCCTGGGTTCCATCCCCGGTGTGCTGTGAATAAAAAGAAAATTAATATTATTCTTGCAATGACAGTAATTGTGGAGGTGGGATAGCAACAAACGCGGCACCATGTGCTTTGTAAGCACGTTTTTATGATTCAAATTAATATTGCAACGGTTGGAGTTTTGCTGTAATTAAAGTGGGGATGGTTGTCTTGGTGCTCGTCTGAACAATGAAGGCGTCGCTGAGCTCCTGGCATCTTGGGGGGGTGGCGAGGAGGCTGAGGACAGATGGCCCTCACCCAGTCCCACCCCCTGCCCCAGGGACCCCCAAGGAGACCTGGTGGTATGGGGGGGCTACACCTTGCACTCCTGGGGGCCCATACAGCAGGTTTTCAGCATCATGCTTCTTGTCACACACCCAGATTACCAGCCCGTGACCCACGCCAAGGACATCTGCCTGCCGTGGGGAGCGCGGGAGGTGCCCACAGTCTAACATCCGGGCTTTGTTGTTGCTTACTGCTGAGCCACGCTCCCAGCCCTTTTAGTTATTTTATTGTGAGACAGAGTCTTGCTAAGTTACCCAGGCTGGGCTCAAACTTGTGATCGTCCTGCCTCAGCCTCCCAGAGTGCTGGGATGACAGGTGTGCATCATCGTACCTGGCCTGGACTTATATATTTTGCTGATGGATAAAACAAATAAGAAATGGCACAAGACAAGCTGGGCACAGTGGCACACACCTGTCATCCTAGCATTCTGAAAGGTTGAGGGAGGAGGACCACAAGTTCCAGCCCAGCCTGGGCAACTTAGCAAGATGCGGTCTCAGAATAAAAAATAAAAAGGGGTGGGGAGGGGGCTCAGTGCAAAGGCCTGGGGTTCAATCCTTAGACCTTGACACTGTCCCCACAGCCTAATGGCTCTGCCATCTGGGGCCCAGCCATGGGGCTACTACGGCTGCTATGGAGAGACCCCAGGGCCCCTACAGCTGTGACCTGGTGCCAGGCTGGGGCTAGTGTGAGACTTCAAGGACCCACCCCCTGGGCTGATGGAGGCCGAGGTCCGTGTGCTGGATCTGGGTGTCTGCAGTAGCGCCTGGCTGCGCTCTGCTCTTAGAGCTGGCACTGCCGGAGGCAGGGTTTTGCTCGGTGTAACATGCTCCTGCACACTTGCTTATGGTGTGAGAAAGTAGGTCCGCAGAGGGGATTGGAGTCGAGCAGGAGTGGTCTTAGAATCCAAACTCTGCTAAGGTTTTTTTTTTTTTTTTCCTCCGGTACCGGGAACCGAACTCACGACCTTGCGCTTGCCAGGCAGGCGCTTTTGCCGCTGAGCTAAATCCCCAGCCCCTCTGCTAAGGTTTGATCAGATAGAGACCAAGGCCTAGAAAGGACAGGGAGCTGATGTGGATCACACAGGGATGTCCTGTTTTGTATAGGTCACACACTGCATAAACACCACAGACTTGCATATTTATACAAGCTCATGGGTAGGGTGAGGACAGCGGCGTTGGCCCGGAGCAGGTAGCCCCTCCCCCATGGCGTCGGCAGCCCCAGCATCAGCCAACCATAGCCCCATTTTAGAGGGGGAACTAGCACTCCGAAGAGTGCCCAGCGCCCCCCACACCTCCACCAGGGCATGCGGGCCACATTTGGGCGCCTTCCACGCTGCCTGCCCACGCGCACATCTGCAACCGCTTGGCCAAGTGTCTTCACCAAGAGAACAGACTTGCATATTTATATCGCCCAGTAGAGGGCAGTAACGGCTCCCAGGACAGGCAAAGGCCGGCAGTCAGAAGTCAGCGCGGCTGGAAGCCACGTGAGGGGGCAAGCAGGGTAGAAGGCTGGGGGTTGGATCCTCAGGTCCTTAAAGGCAGAGGTGAGGTAAGTTTCTGATTTAATAGACATAGGGAGCCATGGAAGGGTTTTGAGGCAGAGAGGATCACATCCACTTGTAGAAGCTCCTACAGGGAAACAGACCCAGAAAGTGGACCCTGACCTCGCCCAGACAGACTCTGGGGCACATGGTGTGCAGAAACCGCACCCACGGCCTCGTCTCTTTCTCCGATCTCTGGTGTGGGGACCCTAAGTCCCTGGATGTGTACGCACAGGTGTCCCTCTTCATGGCCTGGATCTGGGATGTCGTGCAGCCTGGTGACTCCCAGGCTGGGGCTGCGGGGCATCGCCTCACGGCACAAAATTGAACGTGAAGCTGTCAGTTCAGATAGCGGTATGTCACAGCCGGGCCCCAGAAGCCCAGGGCCTGGTGTCTGCAGGTGAGGGCAGCTGCTCCCAAATGAAAAGCCAGATCAAACCAGTGACACATTGGCTGACTAACCAGACACTGTGACAGCTTTATCCCAACAGGCTCCAGAACGCCCCCAGTCCTGGCTCCTCAGCCTCTGAAATCCATGCCCCTTAGCCAGTGCCATCTCATGTGCCTGTCACATTATCATCATTTTTTTTTTTTTTTAATTTAGCTATAAGGTTTCACTAAGTCACTAAATTGACCAGGCTGGACTCCAACTTGGGATTCTCCTGCCTCAGCCTCCCAAAGTGCAGGGTTACAGGTGTGTGCCAGCATGCCGGGCTCAGGCTTTCATTTCGGAACCCAAGCAGGCTGGTGTCTTAGGGTCTCCTGAGCCATCACGTCCCCCTTCCCTCCCCACCCCATAAACACCCTTCCTCTCTCTCCCCTCCACCTGCAGCAGCCTGCCCCGCGGACACTGAGTTCAGTGACATCTACTCAAATTGCTGCGCACTTCCAAGCCCCAGGATGGTCACCCCTTGCCTGAGGGACCAGCAGTTGGGCCAGGGTGAAGGGGCATACAGAGACTTGGACAACCCCAGGTGGCTTTTCCAGACTTTATTATTTTGGTGAGGCAGGACCCCAGGAAAGAGGAAGTTGTCAAGGGGCTCCGTGGGCCCCCCTCAACACTTTTCAGGACATCACCAGAAGGTATGGCCAGGGGCCGCAGCAGGATGGGCAAGATGTTCCCAAACTGCTCACCTGGGACTTGGGGAGCCGGCCTCCCTTCCTGGTGGGTGGCCCCATATCTGATCCCTGAGCCTTTGGTCTCCAAGAAGGCACAGTTGGTGATTTTGGATAAGAATTGAGTGGAAGGCAGGGAGGCTCCAGGGTCTGGCCCCCAACAGCACCTGCCTGGCTGTGGCCACTGCCCAGCCGGACTGGTGGGCAAGAAGGAGCTCCTGGGAACTGCATCTAAGAGTCGCTGGTGAGAGCTGGCCATGCTGCACATGGCAGTGGGCATGGGCACCACTTGGGCTGCTGGTGTCTGCACCCCACCCTGGCCTGTAGGTGAGCTGGGTTCGCAGTCCCCTCTAGGTCCCACCCCAAGTAGACTGGTGCCACTGGACAGTGGTGAGTCTGGGGCAGATGCTGGTCGCCCAGCATCCTAGGCCACAGGATATCTCCAGGTGAACCTCGTGCATGCTGGCTGTGTGGCGGCTAAGCCAGGGGCTTCGTCAGGAGGCACAAATGGGAGCCTGCTCTGGACACGCAGGGGGCACACAGGCAGTGGGACTGAAAGAGCTTCCCTGCACTCTGGATGGCATCAGTAAGTGACAAGCACACCCAAAGGACCAGAAGCGGGTATGGCCCCTGGCAGCAGGGCCTGGGGCGTTTGGGAAGAAGTTCGCTACCCTAAGGCTCGGTATCCAGGGTGCCACACACCCCCAGGCCTCCTTCCTTCAACCCTTCCAAGACATCATCAGGGCACTGTGGGGTCCCCATGTGGTCCCAGGCCAGGTTGGGGAGGCGCCGTGGGACATAAATTACTCTGCAGATGTGGCAATAAATAAACTGGGGGAGGCAAGACCGGACCCCCTGAAGCTCACACGAAGTTCTCCTCCTCTTCCTCAGACTCGGCCTCTTCCTGCTGCTGCTCCTCCTCCTCTGCCTCCTGTCTGGGGGCTCCTGCGGGGTGCAGAGGAGCAGAGGGTGAGCGCGGACCCTGCGTGGGGCTCCTGTCCCGGACGCGTCCCACACTTCACCTCGGCAGCTGCCTGGGTGGCGCACGCCGATTGAGCGGCCCAGGAAGCAGGTGGCCTGGCGCAGATGGCACGAGGAGATGTAGGTGACGTTGTTGTTGCCGCAGAGCTCCTGGCCCCGACCGGAGGGCACGGGGCAGGGCGCTGCGCGACAAACCACGCAGTGCGCGCTGCCGGTCTGGTCCACGAGGCAAGACTGCGGCGGCGGGCACTCCACGTGCTCGCAGGACTCTGTGGACGGGGCGCAGGGGGCGTCACCCTGCGGAGCTCCGCCCCCAGCACCCCGGAGCCCCACCCCAGGCTCTTCGCCAGGGCCGGTCCCTCTCACTCTACCCACAAGCCACACCCTCTCTATTGTATCTGGAACCCCACGCCCACCATAAGCCCGCCCTTCTACTACATCATCAAACCCTACCCTTCTTGCGCCAACCGCCCCCTCTGCTCTAGAGGGCCACACCCCCACAGGATGCCTGCCCCTTATATCACAACTCCTGACCCTAGCCCCACCCTCTTGTTCCACCCACAAGCTCCGCCCACTGCAGGGAGCCACACCCTCATCGCAAGCCCCGCCCCGCTCACTCCATCCACAACCTTGCCTTCTCTGTTTGCATCCGAACAGCGCATCCCACCACATCCCTAGCGTCAGTAACAAGTCCTGCTCCTCTGGCTCCACCCACAGGCCCCAAACTGGTCCATCCCCAAGCTCCATCCCCTCTGGCAGCACGCAGGAGCCGCTCAGCTTTTCGCTTCTATTGGCGAGACCTGGCCTGGGCACTCAGCCCAGCAGGTTCGGTCTCCTGGGACTGGAGGCGCCGGTCCGGGCGGCCCCTTCCCTCCGTCCGGCCCCTCCCTGTAGCCCCGCCCTCGCCAGACCCTGCCCCGCAGCAGTCAGGGCACTGTACTCTAGGCTCCGCCCCCCGTTCTGACTGCGCCCTTATGACGCCCGCCCCGTGCTTTGGTGACGACCCCATAGGATGGCCCCGCCCTCCGTCTGGCCCCGCCCCGTACTTTGGCAGTGGCCGCGGTACATGACGCGCAGGTCCGGGTGTCCGCGGCAGCGCGCGGCGCGCAGCTCACACTCGTCACGGTAGGTGGCGCCGTCCGAGCCGCAGACTTCCTTGCGCTCCGGGAGCCCTGCGCAGTCGGGCGCGCACTCGCAGCGCGGGCGGCCCCCCAGCATACGGCACGCCTTGCCGGGGCCGCAATCCACTCCGTTGCAAGAATCTGCGGACACGGAACACGCGCGCGTCCAGGTCGCAGTCCGGTCGGTGGCCGGGTGCGCCTGGGGTGGAGGGCTCTGTCGTAGCAGGGTGGTGGAGTCTTTGCCCACAATCTGGGGTCCTGTCGGTGCCCCAGTTTCTGCCACGGGTCTGGGTGGACAACAGCCCTCGTCCACTCCTGCAGCCTCATTTCTCAGCTAGGGAAACTGAGGTCCAGCTAGGAGAAACCTTTGTTGCCACCCCCCACATACATTTCAAAGCGCTGTTCATCGCATCCTCCCAACTACCATTTTACAGACTGGGAAACTGAGGCCCGGTCACAGCTTTGGGTGCTGGGGACCCAGGAGCACCTCAGCTTGAGAACTCCACGCCAGATCCCGCTGGACACCAGCTCTGTGCCTTCTGGGGCTGGAGCATAGGCACTGACCACTCTATCCTGTTTCCCCGTGAGTAGCAGGGGGTTGGAGGCCCCACCTTAGGGGGCGAGCTAGCGCTCGGAAGAGTGCCGGTGCTCTCCGCGCCTCTCGCCAGGGCATGTGGGCCGCACTTGGGCGCCTCCCACGCTGCCTGCCCAAGCGCACATCTGGAAACGCTCGGCCAAGTGGCTTCACGCAAGCGAGAACAGAAGGGGGGCTGAGTTCCCATCCCCAGGCCAGATGGGGGGGCCCTGGGCCACCTCATGCCCAGGCCAGGCGCATTTGGAAGTCTGTCTTCCTTCCAGAAGTGGGGAGAGGAAAGTCTGGAAGGGGGTGCTTGACTGGGAGCTCAGGACCACCCAGCCAGGCTGATCTGGGATTAATCACATCTCAGAGCCGGGTTGGGCCATGGCAAGCCTTTGCTTCTGACTCCTGGCTATCCTTCTGCCTGAGACAGACCCAGCAAACTCCTAGTCATCCCCCAACACCCTGTCACTAATGCCCACTTCCTTTAAGCCCTGCCCCAACACTGTCCCTCGCTGGGCCCCTGGAAGTTCAGACTTGATCACAAGGAGCCAGGAAAGGTCCTCCAACTAACTCATCCTTCAGAGGCAAAGGATATCTGCATTCATCTGCACTTAGTGTGGTGTGAGGGGCAAGTTTCTGAGAGCTTGGCCCACAGAGGCACAAGCCTGTTAGACACGCAGAATCAGTGGGATCAGAACCCTGGGGGGGGGGTGCTGGGGATTTAGCTCAGCGGCACAGCGCCTGCCTGGCAAGCACAAGGTCGTGAGTTCGATTCCTGGTACCGGACAAAAAAACAAAAACCAAAAAAGAAAAAAAAGAATTCTGGTGCAGACGCTGGGAACATCCTGAGCCCGGACAGCCACTTGGGAAAAACCCTTTCCAGAAAGTAGGTGTGGGCCAGGCCCACCTCCACCAGGTGGGCAGCACCGTCGGGGCTGGGGCTCTGTGTGATGGACTGGGTCATCGCGAGTCCTCTATGGGCACCTTGCATACTCCTGTGACGGGGAGTTCACTCCCAGTTATCCCAGCTTCAATCAGACACTACATTGCACCGGGCCTGAGCTGAGCCACGCCCACCCTGCTTCTGGCCTGTGCCAACTCCTGGGATGGGGGGGTCCTCACCTTTGCATGGCAGACAGTGGATGAGGCCCAGGAGGCCCAGGAGGTTGATCTTGTTTTCGGGCTGGGTGTAGTTGGACCAGGCAGTGTCTATGTTGCTGGAGGCGCAACACTCATCCTGGCTCACGTCGGTCCTCAGCACCAGGCTGCAGGTGGCCTCAGGGCCCTGCCGGAGCCAGCACACCCCAGCTGCGGGCAGGGAGGGGACAGTGCCTGTGCCCCGGGCCACTCCCAGTGACCAGCTTCTGCAGTGTCTCAGCAGCCTCAGAGGAGACACTGGGCCCCCAGTGCAGGAAGGAGGGGCACAGGTGCCCTGAGGGACCCCTGTTGCCCCTAGGCCCCCGCCAGCCCCCACCTGCCTGTCCACGGGCCTGAGAGCTGGCGCCTCGCCCAAGCGGTCAAATGCCAGATGGGCCGGCCCATCAGGGTCACTGGGCCTGCAGCGCTCCTCCGCCTCTGCCCTCTGTCTAGACAGCGCCCGAGGGCGCGCGGAGCCCCCCGCCGGGCAGCTCCCCCCCTCCTGACCCGCCTCTTACTCACTCTAACTTGGGAACATTCCCCCGGCATGAGCTCACCATCTCCCCGGGGACTCGGCCTTCGGGGAGGGGGCTCGCTCTCCCCTGCGCCGGACTGGGGTGCGGCTGAGGGAGGTGGGGGGGCCTGGGGGGCGGAGGTCCCTCCAGTTCTTCACCCTTAAAGAGGGGCGGGGACCGGCTGTAGCCCCCACCCCACTGCTCTCCCTGGCTCCGGGACACCGCTGAGGCCTTCCGGGGACCAGCTCTGGGGACCCTAGCATCTCTTTTACAAAAGGGGAAACTGAGGCAGGGGATCAGGCGGCTCTTGTCTCCTAGCAAGTTTCAGGTACCAGGTTCCACTCCCCAGCCCCGTCTGGGGAAGATCGCAGACGCCAGCTGGAGTTTCCGGTCTAGCCACCCAGCGCTGCCTCTGTCCCGAGCCTCCAGACCCATCCAGACGGTGGTGTCTGGGTTGGTGCCACTTACAGGCTCCGTGAGTCCGAGACTCAGTTTCCCCAGCTGGAAAGTGGGGCTGGTGAGAGTACCCACAGTCTTGGGCTCCTCTGCCGATTCAGAAGTAGACACTAAGCGCTCAATAAATGTCAGGAGACGTCTGTATTGACCTCCGCTCTGCCCCTGCCCCAAACTCCGCCACCAGCACCCCGACCCCAGTCTTGCAATCTGCAGAGCACGTGGGTGGCCACCGCGCCCGCCCTGCCCGCAACCCCACTCACCAGGCGCGGGGTCCCCCGAGCCGACAGCGCCTACGAAGCCCACGGCCCAGGCCAGGGCGCCCCAGGGCAGCGGCCACAGCGGCCCCCGCACCCGGGGACGCATGGTGAAGGCTGAGAGCGGCGCGGCGCGCAGCGGGGCGGGAGCTGCTATAAAGGTCCCGGCGCGGGCGGGGCCGGCGGCGGGGCGGGGCGGGCGCAGTGTGGAGCGCGGGACCGGCGCGTCCTGCGGATGGCAGGGCAGGGCCCGCGAGGGTGGGGGGCAGAGCCCAGGTCCCATCTGGGAGGCAGAGTCTCCCTGGGAAGATGTGGCTGAGCCGGGTCAGGGGCTGAACTGTGACCTTGACTTAAATTGAATTTGGTGACCCGCGGCCTGGTGCATTCGGGAGGGGACGCTACCAGGTGTCTCCGTGGGTTCGGGGGGCTTTGGTTGGGTGGCACTCTGCAGACCGAGGTGTCATGTGGGACACCTGACCGTGCGACGGCTGGCACAGCTAAGTGAGATGGCCGCGGTGGCTGGGTGCGGGACAGGTGGAGAGGGGCAGCTGGTCCTGCCGCAGGTGGACAGCAGCTTCATAGCAGCCTAGGCTTCCAAAGAGCCCCAGGTCTTGTCTTTGCCCCTTAGACCTGGGGTGACCCAGCCACAACCCATACTTGGCAGCGGATGCCCCCGGCCAGATCCATGGGGTCTACTCTTATGTTGTGGTCCCGGGCACTGACTCAGCTCCATCCCCAGCCCTTTTTATTTTTTATTTTGAGACAAGATCTCACTTCATTGCCCAGGATGGGCGGGGACTTGTGATCCTCCTGCCTCAGCCTCCTAGAAGGCTGGATGACAGGTGTGGCCAGCACAGTGCCCTGCTTCCCCCGGTTTGCTATTAGGGTTTTCCTCCCCGCCCCCCACCCTGGGATTCCAATTCCCTGCAGCCCTCGGCAGCCCTGGAATCCCGCGCTGCCCAAGCGGAGGCATTCCCACAATTTATGACAGTGACATTCACGTGGCCTGGGAGGCTCTGTGTCCTCTCGGCCTCAGTGCAGCCGGACTCTTTTCCTATTTTGGGGCTGATTCCTTCTATTGTTGGGGGCCCTGAAATGGTCAGGAAGCCTTGGTTCTTTGGAGAACCTGGTGCTCCCGAGAGCTGCTCAGTGGTGGTGGGAGGGACAATGAAGGAAGCAGGGGAGCAGGAGCGACCAGGGAAGGCCCAGGCCAGCCTCCGGATTTGGAGGGGCCATGGATGACAAAATATATAGACAAATGAAGCTCTAAGCACAAGAGTGGTATTTGCTTTCAGGAAAACGTGAGAGGATGAATGTCTTTCCTGGGAACGGCTGTGCCCCATTCCCGACTCCTGCATATGCCTCCTCCTCAGGTAGGGAAACTGAGGCTCCCTGGAACACACAGCACAGGCAGCCCGTGGAGAGGGCTGTGTCCCCAGCAGAAGCCACACCCAGACCTCTCCTTTGACCTTAGCACCCCAGCCTGACCCTGTGCCCCAGCTGTGGCCAGAGGCCAAGTTACTGCCCTCGTGGCCCTGAGGGAGACACCCTGCTGTCCTGACCTGGCCATGGGCCCTGGCAATCCCACAGGGATTCTCCCCGGGGTGGGACAGGAACGGGACCCCGTGTTCTTGTCCAGGGTGTGCGGGGGCCGGACAGTGCAGCCTTGGCCAGAACCTGACCCTGCTGTGGCTCAGCCACGCTGGTCTAAATCAAAGGGTCATTGTCCGGCCGGCGTGGGCTCAGGGCCTCTCCCGCCAGCTCCAGGCTCGCCGTCACTCCCCACCCTGGAGGCCAAGTCCAGGCAACCTCAAGCAAATGACTGAGCCTTTGCAGGGGTCCCCACTTCCCAAGACCCCAGGGAGACCCCGCCCTCTTCTGCCAGCCTCTTCCTGCTCCGGCTCTGGGAGACCCTACCCAGCTCGGACACTGCCCTGGCTCTTCACGGCTGCTGCTGACAGCCCAGCCCTCTCACCCCAGGCCCAGCCAGGCAGAGACATAGTGATTTCCAGGGAAGAATCCCTCCTGCTGCACACAAGCTGGAGGGCCCAGAGGTTGTGCCCAAGGGAGCCTGGGGAAGTTGAGGAAGGATCAAAGGAAAAACACATTAAAAGTGAGACTTGAATGCTGGGAGTGGTGGTGCACAACTTTAATCTCAGCATTTGGGAGGCTGAGGCAGGATGATCACCACCAATTCAAGGCCAGCCCAGACTACCTAGTAAGTTCAAGCCAACCAGAGCTACACAGCAAATCTCTCTCTCAAAAAAAGCCCAAAACCAAACTAACAAAAACAACACTGAGACCTGCACCCCAGGCGCAGTGGTGCATGCCTGTCATCCCAACACCGTGGGAGGCTGAGGCAGGAGGATTGAAAATTTGAGCCCAAACTGGGTAACTCAGTGACTTAGACCCTGTCTCAAAAAAAAAAAAAAAAAAAAAAAAAAAAAGGGGGGGGGGGTGTTTTTTGTGAAAAGCCCCTTGTTTAAACCCCCCAAAAAAAAAAAAAAAAAAAAAAAAAAAAAGGCAGAAAAAGCTGGGAGAGGACAGGGAGACCCCCTTCCTCTGAGGCTGGAGCCCAGGGACAGAGGTCTTGGCGGCCACTGCTGGCCCTGATGGTGGAGGGAGAGGCCTCTCGCCAAGGAATGTGGGTGGCCTCGCAGAGCTGGGAAAGGCACGGAACAGATTCTCCCTTCGAGCTTCCAGCAGAATGTGGCTATGCTGTGGGTTGATACCTTGATTTGCAACCAGAGTGACCCCTACGGGACTTCTGACCCCCAGAGCTGTGAGGGAGGAGGGGGGAAAAAAAGAATTGTATAGTTTTAAGCCATCCAGTTTGGGCAGTTTGGGACACTCAAAGCAGGCCCTGTGACCTCTCTGCCTCCACATTCCCATCTGTGAAGTGGGTACAGAGTTCCGCTCGGATGCTGAGGACAGGGCCCAATGCACAGAGGGGCAGGGAATGCACACAGGCAGGTTGTCTGTCCTAGTGTAGTGTCTGGTGCTTCCTCTAGAGGGGGTCACTGATGCTGGAAGAATAGGAGGGACTTTCTAGTAGTCACAAAACTAGACAGAAAGCCGGGCATGGTGGCACACGCCTGCTATCCTGCACTCCTGGGAAGCTGAGGCAGGAGAATTGCCTCGTTTGAGGTCAGACTGGGCTACATAGTGAGCCCCTGTCTCAAAGATAAATAAACTGAGTTTCCACACTAGAAGCTGACAAAACCATCTTTCCAATAAGTCAGTAGCATTTCACTCAGGCAGATCCTTTAGGACCCAGAGTGGCTGTTTCTCCTAGGGCTTTGGGGGGGGGATATGGTTAGGGCACCATGTTCTGCAGCCTTATGCGCGTGCCCTGCCTCCAGGTTGTGGGTCATGGGTTGGTCAAGCCAGTGCCTAGGATCTCACGTTCTTTTTATTTTTATTTTTTTACTCTTTAAAGTTTATTATTATTATTATTGTTATTGGTTTTTTTTTATGTATGTGGTGCTGGGGATCGAACCCAGGGCCTTGTGCACGCAAGGCAAGAGCTCACCACTGAGCCACATCCCCAGCCCAGGTCTCACGTTCTTAAGCCAGGCAATGCTTGGGGCTGAATCCACTTCTGCATGATGTTGGCTGCCCCTGAGGCCCAGCACAAAGGCTTTGCTGGTACCTGAGGGGTTGGCCATGGTGGCTGGTGCAGGAATTTTAAAGTGAGCCCGGGCTTAGCGTGCTCCCGACAGACGTCCCTGCACAGTCTCACAGCCAGAGCACAAGCGCCTGAGACCCCTCCTGCTGCGCACGCTCAGTGCGGTGCCTTTTCCAGCGGCTCTTCCACACCGTATCCCAACTTTTGCCTTCATCCTCCCGGCTGCTCCCCACGCCTTCCCCAACAAGGGCCCACACTTTCTGTGGGAGTCTCGGGGCCAAATTAGTTCCAAAAAGCAGAACTGGACTTCAGCTAAGGAGGTGAGTTCTGATTGGCCAAAGAGGTGAGTCCTACTGGCCACAGGGGCTAGTCTTGATTGGCCACAGAGCTGAGTATTGATTAGGTGTTAAGCGGAATCTCCGGATTGGCTGGAGAGCTGAGTTCTGATTGGCCAAAGTGGGTTACAGCGCCGGTCAGTCAGCCTCTTGCTAGTCATTGGTGTAGAATAGCCATGTAACCCGGCTTTGGCCAATGATGGGAGGGATGGCCTGCAGAGGTGGGTGGGGCTCCCAGACTGGCCTGTCTGCACCTGACCTGTTAGAGCTGCCAGTATGGGTTTTTTGTTTGTTGCTGTAACTAAATGAAGATAGCTCAGATCTGTTACCTTATGAGGATCAGAAGTCAGACATGGGTCTTGGGCTAATTTTTTTTCATTACTGGATATTGAACCCAGGGCCTTTGCATACACCACTGTGTCCATCTTGAGGCCCCTTTCAGTAAGAGTTTACCCCAAGTTGAAAAAAGGGTTGGGGGGCTGGGGATTTAGCTCAGCAGCACAGCACCTGCCTGGCAAGCACCAGGTGGTGAGTTCGATTCCCGGTACCAGAAAAAAAAAAAAGGGTTAATGGAAAAAAAAAATAACCAACAAAGGTCACTTGCAAAATCACATTTTTTTTTTTTCTTTTTGAGACAGGGTTTCACTATGCAGTTCGGACCAGCCTTGAACTCACTATGTAGCCCAGGCTGGCCTTGGCCTCAAACTCACAGTGATCCAAGTGCTAGGACTACAGGCGTGCACTACCATGCCTGGCAAAATCACAAAATGATGAAACATCACTAACAAAGTTACAAAAAGAAATCAAACCACAAACTCCCCTCCCCCGCAAAATATATGAACAAGGGTAAAGCTACCCCCCAAAACCCCCCACAAACTGAAAAGTATCAACAGCAAAGAAAAAAGACTGCAAATGAAGACAGAACTACAAACATACAAGCTACAAATATAAATGAAAAGGGAAGCTAGACATGGTGTTGCATGCCTGTCATCCCAGCACTTGGGAGGCTGAGGCAGGAGGATTGCACCATGAGTTCGAGGCCAGCCTGGGCTACATAGTAAGTTCAAGTCCAGTCTAAACTACATGGCCAGACCCTGTCTCAAAAAAAAAAAAAAAAGCAAGATAAAAAGAGAAAACAGATATAAATCAAAACAAGTAAATTGTCAGAATATAAGCGAAAAGCACTCAGACACTGTG